TTTTATAATATTAAAAGATAACGAACTAACATAATACATATTAGCCTCATGAATGAGGCCAGCCTCAGGCCATAAGAAATAAATCTATTATACATCTGTTCTAGGCTGGTCTCCTTATTAGACTTACAACTGGTGCGATGTCTATGTGCGGATCAACTCTTCTCACTAACACGCGCGCCGTCACCGCCGCCCACTGCTGGACGACACGCGTACACCAGGGCACGGCCATTGTGGTCGTCCTTGGATCAGTCAATCTTTACGTTGGAGGAACTCGTGTCAACGCAAACAATATTCAGATGCACCCTAATTACAATATGGATAATTATAACAATGATGTCGCCGTCATTACTATGCCATGGGTTACATACACCAGTAAGCATTTTTTATCAGTTTGTAATTTATTATTTGATATTCGTGTTGTGTTTTAATTTAAATGTTCATTCTTGTGACTCCATTTTTTATTTAAAAGTATTATAACATTGTATCGTATCGTAATTGTAAATGAAATCGGTCAAGTGCGCGTCGCATGAAGGTTCCCTACCATAATTGATTTTTTTTATTTCCATGGCAGCCTTTTTGAAATCGTCATCTTGGTTTTTTATTATTTGTTGTAGTGTCAATAAAAATACACACGCACACACAGTTTCATGAGATACAGCCCTCTGATAGAAGGACGGACGGACGGACAGCGGATCCATTCCGTACCCGAGTGCGGAACGCCCCTAAAAAAACTGCAAATCCCTAAAAGTTTCTCACTGAATATTTTTAAATTTTGACACAGCTGAGAATTTTGCATTTTGAGTACTGTTAAATATGAATTTTATTTCATTTTGCAAAAAAAAAACTATTATGTTTTATATATGATATCCAGCACAATAAATGTTAAGAGGATACTGTGATTTGCAGACAATATCCGCAACATTCCTATGGCTTCTGGCAGCAACAGCTTCGCTGGACAAAATGCGGTCACCGCCGGCTTTGGACTGATTGCTGATGGTATATTAAAGATATTTTTTCTATTGGCATACACATGTTCGTCCAATTCAGAATAAGAAACTTAATAACTTCAACTTAAAAATTTCCAGTTAATGGTCAGACCGACCGCCTGCATCACGTCACTCTCCAAGTAATCACGAATGCAGATTGCGTCCGCTTCTACGGTGCATCAGCCGTTCTTGGGTCCACCCTCTGCACCAGTGGTGCTGGAGGCGGCAATATCTGTACTGGAGACTCTGGTGGTCCCCTCGTCCTGAACAACCAATTGGTAATGTTTCTATTTAAGCTCATTTTCTATATCTCTCAAAAGACCAAAAGTCTTTCATATGGATAAACGTCTTTTAGTCAGTTATAGCACTAGTTTATGTTTCATACGTCCTTCAATTTCCTAAGTCTAACTTATCCTATGGGTTGAAATAAACATTGTGAGTTTGATCGCTTTGACCAAAATATGGTCAGGATTATTAATATTTTTTTTAATTTCTCACCAGATTGGAATTACGTCGTTCGGAGCCATACGCTGCGAAGCAGGTTCTCCCTCAGGATTCGCGCGTGTCACCTCCTTCAACAACTGGATAACTGCCCGTCTATAAACTATATTTTACTGAAAAATAAAATCCTTATGATTTAAGCATTTAGTTTCTTTCATACATATATCCCTAATGGTAATTGCCTGTATAAAGATTAAAGATACGTATTATTTTTATTAAAAACAAAATGACAAGAACAAAAAACCCCGACTGAGTAAAAAGCAAACTAAAATACAATTTACACGTTCTGTGCCACCGAGTCGCCTTATGAGTTCACGTTAATTTTATTCCAGTGCCGGCGACTCGCGTGGCGAGTTTAGTATGTTTAGGTAATATTTACAAAACGCTTCCGTATATTCTGTTTAAAATTATAATGTAGAATTAATATGATTTTATTGGAGTCTTCGATGTAAAGAACATTTTTATATTTAAAAGAAAAAAATCATTCTGCTATCCCATGAATTCGCTAGGCGAGTTTGGAGTTTTTGTTTATTTTCAGCGATTTCTAAGAGCTCGTTGGCCGACGATTGTGATTATGAAAGATTTGTGACAGAGTTGATTCCATTCCATTCATGCCTTACTCGTAGTAAACTCTAGTTTTTATACTCACTTTTCGCTTTACGTGGTATAATAATATGGTGTATTAATGACATCAATAAAATATCATTAGAAGGATTCTTTTTATGTTTCCTATATAAATTATCTCTATGCACAAGCATCTTAAAAGTTCTGGAGTAATCCAAGGTTATGCCTCGGCCTGTGTCTGCGAAACGGATAAACGATTTTGGAATTATTACATATTATTGAATGAATTGGGTCTATTAAAAGTTTCGTCGCAAGCTTAGGAGCTTGTGTTGAGTAGACAGGATCAAAATTAATATTACATAGCTCGGTGCTCAGTTTTTCTTCATCTATTTTAATAGTGAGAGGGTTATTTGTGGGAACTGTTATTTTGACACATAGGGCCATAACGATTGCATGGTCGTCAGTGACAATAGAGCTGAGCACTATATCGAATAATAAACAGGTTACCTTCTTTGCATGATCACTTTATAGGTGGGGGGCTCTCAATTTGAGTTATATCATGGTCATAATGCTCCGTCTCTGTCACTAATTGCACTAAAAAAGCAAGTAGGTATTTATTGATAAATTTCAATTATTACTCGACTGTGCGACACAAAGGATGGTAATATGTTTATCAGCCTATGTATGTATGGATGTATGTGTGTTTGTACCTTTGTGGCACTATTTAGTGGCGTATTTACCAAACGCGTGGGCCGATTTTGATAAATGACACGTCATTTGATTCGTCATGACGGCGCGAATGTTATAGAAAGCATAAAGATTTGTAAAACGACGCCATAATGTGAAAAATAAAAAAAATAAAATCAACGAACTATATCAAGTGGGGCATCGTTGAATAGGTATTTAAATTTTTTTAGGTTTCTTTCGTCATTTTTCATTTAAAAACAGTTTAGGATATAATATAGTGATTTAAAGTTGGTTAACAACCATTCTCGTTAATTTTCCTACTTAAAAATACTTAAAAAGCTGTAAATAAATAAATATAATTTTTAGTTAGTTTTTATGCAGTCGCGTTTTTTATTTTTATAATATATTTATTTATTATATATTAAATACACTGTTCATTAATTTCAGTTTAATTATTTAAAATACTTTAGCAAATATAATTGAATTTATTTCCTTTTAATATTTCGCATTAAAAAGGATATATATAATAAGGTCGAATGTCTGTACATAGAAAAAAAATGCTAAAAACCGAGTCAGGGGGTTGTAAGAAAACAAATCCAGATTTTTTTCAATTTTTTTGTTTCTGTTTGTCTGTTTGTACGGGCTAATCTCCGAATCTATTGGACAGATTTAAATGAACTTTTGCATGGTGGTACCTTATATCCCCGGACAATATCTTAGATACTTTACATTACGGAAAATTTAAGAGTTCCCGTGGGATAGTTAAAAAACTATAGTAACTTATACAGCTTAGTACACAACAACTTATGCGCCTAATTTAGTAAATTTTGGAATGCTGATACCTTATATTGCCGGTCAAACAACAAGTTACTTTTCATCCCGGAAAAAAGAACGGTTTCCGTGGGATAGATTTGTTTATGCTTTTCTAGGCGTTTTCTGACGAGCGAAGCGAGGGTGAGCCGCTAGTAATAATATAATGGTATAACCTAAATTATCTTTTAAAAAATAAAAATCTTTGATTTACGTCAAATTATAAATTTAGTACAATCGATCATTTTTTTAAATCAGATAAAATTACTTACGTAAGAAGGGGGAAGGGGAGTCCGAGAAATCCTATATGCTCGTACATGATTGGGCCCTTAATATAAATGTCGTAGTAAGCTACGAGATCTGTGTTATGGATACCAGATAGTTGATACACTACACGTATATAACTTTAAATACATACATATTATCAATATAAACAGTATGACTGAAGTATAAACATCCATGCTCATCGCACAAGTAAATGCCCCCAGTGTGACTCGAACCTGTGACCGCTAGTACAGCAAGGGTCACTACACACTGAGCTACTATCAAAATGAGGCCTAAAAGATAATTACTAATCAAATATAACACCTACGTTCCGTGCTACTTTGACACATGAGATAGTACTACCTACTATGTTATAGTCAAACGATATTTGAGTTTTCTTTTTTTAAATAATATAATATTTATTTTTATTAGGCTCCACCAAGTTTTCGTCACACCACATTTCGATAGAATCAAGATTTTGCTGAAGAATATTACGATCTGATCTTTTAGCGATTTACCGATATATTTTTTTATTATGTAGTTTTTTATATATAGTTTTTTATATAAGGACTTTACGAAGTGCGATAGACACAAGTGAAACAGATTACATGTACAAATCCAAAATGCAAGTAATATATACCGAAAATTTTCGGAAATTGCAGAAACAGTAATCCGAAAAGTTGAAGAAATATGGCAAAAGACATCTATTGCCATCGTTCCGCACTCCAGAGTAATATATATTAAATATTATAAGTACTTAAAGCCTAACATTTAGCTCAACTCTTACAGCATTAAGAGTATATTCTTTTCTGTAATTCGAAATGAAGATAATCATCTTAAAGCAACAGTTTACGGCACTTCTGGAAATTTACCTCTAATATTTTCACGTGCGAATCATTTCTAACAGGATTACTACTTGCCTTACGGTGAAGGAAAACATCGTGAGGAAATCTGCATGTCTGAGAGAACTTAGCAAGTTTTTCAAAGACACGTACAATCTGCCAACCCGCACTTGGCCAGCGTGGTGGACTATGGCCTGATCCCCCTCGTATTGAAGGGAAGCTCGTGCCCAGTAGTGGGACGTAAAAAAGGGCTGAATACATATACATTAATTTCATTAACTATCAATCAATTAATTTGAGCCTCCTGTGTTACGAAATTACACAATGAGATTATATACAAAAAGAGATGACGAGACTGACTGATGTTTGTGCTTTGCCGTCAAGTTCAAGCGGTCAAACGGTGAGTTAAGCCACTAAAGAAAATCACAATATCAGGGTGTGACAAAATATCAACGAATAGCTTGATTCATGCTAAACTTGCTCCCAAAAAATTAAGGAAAAATTTCAGAGCTAAAATTTTTCGCCAAATATGAAATAATGTGTTGATTATTTTTATGAATTTATTATTTACATTTCGCTTTGTATTTTTAAGTAGATATTTCTTTTGTTTGTTTAGCATTAAAATTATTTTTAAAAACTATAAGTATAAGTCTTAAAAACACGTGTTTTTCAGACTTAAACTTATTCATTATTTATTTCAGACTTATACTTTAATTATTAAATACATTTTTATAATAACAGATATAGTTTTTAACTCTTATTTTAAAAAAAGTCGTCTAAGTAATGATACTGAGGTACTTGATAGAGATAACGTTTGTCCTTTACAGTACATCATTTGATTAAATTAAGGTTTAGAAGATAACGAAAATTTGTCGGGTTGTTTTTCTATCACAAATTGATATATAATATTTTAACTATAATTAGAGTTCATACCTAATCATATTTACCTATTAGATATTCATATCTTAAAATATTGTCGGCTAGCGCCGACTTCGACAACATCTGATTAGGTATCTATTCTAAATGAAAACCCCGTTTAGTTAATATATTTTTCTAATTTTAGTGTCTGGAAGTAGGTTTTTTTAATGTTTTATTTTTTCATTTTTATTATAGACGTAATAAGCAGATAATTTGTAAGAAGGATGTTCTTTAATAACCATATTCGATTGACCAATTTATTTAAAAAAATAATTTATGTTGAATTTTTAAAAAACCGCTCGACCGATTTCGATAAAATTTAACCTGGGAAGTATACCCTTCGAAACAAAAAAGAATTCCAAATCGGTTTAGGCATCTTCGAGTACCTAATCGGTGAACATATGTACATAAAAATATTCCGACGAATTGAGAACCTCCTCCTTTTTGAAAGTCGGTTAATGAAGTGATTGCGCTTTAATTTCCGATGACCGAACCCTAGTTTGTAACAACATTATAAAAAAATGTCAGCCTATGATTATAAATAACTGGGTTTAATTAATAAATAATCTTAATCTCCGGTTTTCCCGATATCGATGATTAATTAAATTACCTGATGTTTAATTATATTATCTAAGGACGATAATATTTAGAACACATAATTATATTATCGTAATTATTGCGGCTTTTAAATTGATGTCTGTTGAAAACCCATAGGTATTCATAGTACAATATATATGGAATTATAAATGTGAAAATGTGTTTTTTCCTTGTTTGTTTGTTTGTCCTTTTTTCACGTAGAAATAGAGTGACATATTAGCGTGATTTTTTGTGTAGAAATATTTGGAGGGCTGGAGAGTGACATAGACTAATTTTATCGCACGAGATTAACTCATTTCCACGGGAAAACACGTTACATATAATGTTATAACCCTCGACAACTCATCATCTTAATATAATAATATAGTATATATATTCCATACTAACCGTTAAAACGTACCTACCTAAGGACGAACCCGAGCGAAGCAAGGGTATGCGCGCGCACTTGATAAGATTTCAGTTGAATTTAGAAAAATCAAATATATTTTTTTCTAAATTACACAATATTGAAAGGCAGTGGTAGCCCAGTGGTAACGCGCTCGCTTGGGAACCCGAGTGAAGCGAGTTCAAATCCCGGGTCTCGCACCTCTGATATTTTCATGTGCGAATCATTTCTAACATGATTACCACTTGCCTTACGGTGAAGGAAAACATCGTGAGGAAACCTGCATGTCTTAGAGAACCTAACAAGTTTTCGAAAGACATGTGAAGTCCGCCAACACGCACTTGGCCAGTGTGGTGGACTATGGTCTGATCCCCCTCGTATTGAAGGGAGGCTCGTGCCCAGCAGTGAGACATTAAAAAGGGCTGAATAGACAATATTGATATTTTGTAGACATGTGCCGACTATGAGTTTTGCTGACTAGCCGACTAGTCGGTTGGAAAAAGGCCGGCTAATCGGCCGGCTAATTGGCCGACTAGTCGGCCTAGCCGATCATTGCTTTCCGCGATGTTTGTCGCGCTTCGCATGCCTTACTTACACGCGTCGCGCGTGCAGACATTTACGAACAGATTTTTGTTTACTTTTCATTTTGATATTTGTGGGTTTTTTGCAAAATAAAAAAGTCATTGAATTGTATAACTAAAAACAGTTTGTATTATTAGATGAAGGGATAGTAAAAGTAACTATATAATTGAAATTAAGTCATAGCATACTTTCTTATATTCACGCGAATATTTGAAATCTGTTATACAGAGAAATAAAATAAAAACATCTGTTTTTAATGTCAAAATAACATTCTTTTACTAAATATATATGAAATTATATACGGTACTAATAAAAATAAAACAATTTTTAAAATTTTTGTCTGTCTGTATGTTTGTTTGTTCCGGCTAATATCTAAAAAACTACTGGATAGATTTTGACGGGACTTTCACGGGCAAATAGCTGATGTTATAATGAAGAACTTAGACTACTTTTACTGAAGAAGAACAATCTGGGTTCCGCACGAAAAAATGAAAACCCATGAAATTGTAAACAAAACCACACCTAGGGACGCGCTCGAGCGAAGCCAGAGAAAATCGGTAGTTTTATTAAACTATATATATACAAGAATTACTCGTTTAAATATATTAGATATCTAAGATAATATAAAAAATCTTTATTTCCGTAATGCCCACCGCATCGTACAAACTACATAGATAATATTGTTATCTTAGGTGCGTCGTAGAAAGTATTGTATGTTTTTTTAATCTTGTTATTTTTAATTAATGTTTGTTTAGTCAAATATAGGGCCGCCTCTAGTTGTTTAAACGCCCCTTTTCAAATCCAATCATGCCGCTCCCTGTTTAAAATACTGTACTAACATTGCCAAACGTAATTCCACAAGGATCTATTGTTGGCCCTTTTTTATTCTTAATATATATTAATCATTTACCTTTTAATAAAATAATGACAACTTAAAGCATCTAACGTGTAAATTTAAAGATGGTTATTGAACAATCATTAGGCATAGTTAATACAATAAAACTAATGATTAGGATAGCGACAAACTTAGCAATAATATTTAATTTTTGAAATTAGACTATAAAATCTTCTCGCGGTTGTCATGTATGGTGAAACACTCACAATCAGCATCCAGAGCCGACACAATTTTACTTTGAGGTTTTATATGTCAGCTTGTTTCGCCCGATCAGATGAAAAAATTTAAAGGTGAAATTTACTTAAACATATTATGTCATGTAATATTATTGTTTTGTTATATTAATAAAGTTATATAAATAGAATAAATCAACTTAAGTGTATTACTACATAATTATAATTATTTGTATATGCATATATTGTTAGCTTTTAATGTCATTGTAATATATGTTTATTAGAATGATTTATTAGAAAATAATTTAGTATTATTTGTGCATAAAACATTTATGGAAGTACATACGAATATAATAACCATAGTAATGTTTGAATTTATTAAAATACTAGCGACTCACCCTCGCTTCGCTCGGGTTCGTCCCTAGCTTGGTTCCCCATACAAATTGTCATCCGCATTTTCACCCACTTAAGGGATGATTTCCGGGATAAAAAGTATCCTATGTCCTTCCTAGGGTCTCAAACTATCTTCTTATTTCATCTAAATCGGTTTAGTAGATCCAGAGATTACCCCCTACAACGTCGTAAACTCACAATCTCACAAACTTTACCTCTTAATAATATTAGTATAGATGATCTTAATAATTGTTATTATTTTATTATTATATTGTAAAAATGAATAATAATATTATTAATAATGATTTGATAAGCTCATAATATGTTTTTTGAATAATGTGTTTCGTATACATAAGTGTAAGGTTTCGCTATTTTAATGTATAATAAAATAGTTATTAATTGGTTATACCACACTGGTGACGCGAACGCACAAATTTTATAGTTTTTATGAGACCTTTATAAATCAGGCAGTTAAAATTTACAAGAATGTTTAGGCCGAAAAAAATAATAAAAATACAATTAACAATAGAAAGAATAAATAAATGAAAGAGGGGATTGGTGGGCGGAGAGTTGACATGGGTGGATGCGATCCGTGATTTTTACTGTTGCAAAGAAATAAGAAATTGTTAAGAATATAAATTGTAACTAAATCTAGTTAAAATATATAAGTTTTGAAACATTATGCTGGCTTTTCCTGAGATATCCTATATAAGTAAGTGTATTTGCTAGAGGCTAAGCGTCGTTTTGCGGTTTTGTGATAATAAGGGGCGGGAGTAGGAAAACGGGGTTTTGTTTGAGCAGACTCTTGGAGATAACACCTGATGAAAAACAAACCTGATGATGACAAATTAAACAAAAACGCTCTCATAATTTTAAGGAACGTACTAAATTACTGTAACGATGAGGAGATTATAGAGGCATCCCGGAAGATGAATATAGTATAGAGTTAAGGTGAGGCACAGGAGAAAGGCGAGGAACGCTCATCAGTCCCTCGTATTCATGGAAGTCTCGCCTAAAGTATGGAAGGCGGCCACAGAGGGCAGAGAAACTTTACGTGGAGTTGCAGAGGGTGCCGGTCTTCGACCTGTACCCCCTAGTGCAGTGTCCGCGATGCCTGGGATGCCACGGCAAAAAGTGGTGCACGGAGAGCATGGACCTGTGCAGCCACTGTGCCGAACCGCACATGAAGGAGCCTTGCCCGAGCTTCCGGGATGGCTATCGTGATGAATCGATTTTGATTTTTTTGTATTATAATTGTATTGAGAATTTTATACAATTGATATATTATATATATTATATAATTACATATAATAGTATTGAGGGGCGTTAATACCAAGTTTCAAGTAATTCTGATCATAAATAACTTTTTGGTTTGTATTATAACGTGTTTTCCCGTATGAATGAAATAATCCCCGCGGTAAAAGTAGCCTATGTCACTCTAGAGCCCTCCAACTAACTATCTCCATACAAAAAATCACACTAATCCGTTTCAACGTGGAAGAAGATAAACATTCAATTAAAAACAAACACACACATACACTTTCGCATTTATAATATTAGTATGGATATTAAGAAAAAGCAAATGTGCTCACCTGTAACTCCTAAAAGCCGATAGCAAATAATCTATAATATAATAAACACTGAGTCGAATCTTTATCTATTTTTTTGGAAAATCTTATTGAAATAGTAATTGTTATAATCGATACAATTACAGAGGCCGAATCTATAGTCTTTTCAATCCAAGTATATAATATGGTGTATTATCTGTGATCGAAGCACTTTAGTCTGTAGAATAATATATACTACTCTGTGGTGTCGAGGACGACCGACGGGGAAGTACAAGTGCTACAAGGATCTTTTGGCGCGTGGCCGAAATCGGAACTAACAGACAAGATGGCGGATCATACAGCTGGAAAATGTTGGCAGAATGATGATGAAGGTATTGGCTAATTAATTAAATATCTTGAAATATTAATGAGTAATATATTTATAAATCTTTTTTGACTAATTTCATATGTATTTATCTATTATTAATATTTATTCTAAGACTCTACTCTGCTTGTATTATAGTTGTTTTATAGTTCAAAATATCAATTTCAGATGGAGTATTAGAGCCCATCTCTAAAGGACAAAGATTTATTATTGTTCATGCCGGAGGTAATCAAGGCTTTGTGAACAATGCTTGTTTGGTTTTTAAATCACAAACAAAGAGTGGTGATTACCATGTAGACATGAATAACACAATTTTTAATTAATTACATTAATTAAATAATTTGTATATTAAGTAATTAAATTTCATTCACTTTTAATTTTATTTTTTTCATTTCCTAAGTTAAATTGAATTACGGAATATAAAGATAGAGTTTTTAAAAGAATTCCCTAAAACTAAGTAGATTTTATTAGCTTGTAACCCTAATTTCACACCAACGCCCTCATGTCACTGTCATGTAAGTGCCAAAAGATCCTTGTAGCCAGTGTTGGATTTCGTAGTATAATTATACTATTTGTACCATTATTTCATAGTGTGTAGTATGTAGTATCGTATTGCCATTATACTACGTAAAAATACCATAATTTTATCTTTAGGTCGACCGACTTGTATTATTGGTGAGTACTTTTACTTTTTAATATTAACTCTACAATCTCGGGAATTTCTGAACGTACGGCAACACCAAATCGAGCAATGACAAGATAGGCGGGGATTCCCCATGTGATGTTTTACTATTTCATCCGTTCTGACAAAAAGGATTTATAAATAATTGCGAGAGACGATTTTATGTTCATAACAATATTTTGACAAAGTACAAAACTTGACAGTGAATTGTTGCAATATAGATACAATATTATGATGTTCTCCTAGCCGATTCCGGCTACGGCGGCCAATCTCATTCAGATTAGCCAACTGCGCAGGAGATATTATAGTGCTCAAATGTACGCGCAGACACAAGTGCACTCTCTATTCCTATCACTCTCATACACCGGTGGGACGACTACTCGACACGACCGGTGAGAGCTAAGGAGCAGGACCGACAACTTTACGAGCTCTCCGAGGCACGGGGGTGAAACACCGCCAACTTCCCAACTCCGGGCTGTTACTGAGACTTACTATACAGAAAGACTCAATAACTAAACTTGGCACGACCCGGGACTCGAACCCAGGACCTCCGGGTGTGCAGCCGTACATGCTAGCCACTACACCACCGAGGCAGTTGAACAATGAAAAACAATATTATAAACCAGTACAATATTGTAGTGTGTGACGTGTGTACATTATTGTTTCTTACGCTTTGACAATTTTGAGAATATAGAGAATAAACTATTTTGTAGTCGCAATTTGTGATCATGAGTGATAGTGAGGGCGAAGAAAACTGTAGTGTTCGACGCCAAAGAAGAAACGCGTTGAAAGAGGCGATTTAAAAGTGAAGGGAAACATAGACAAGAAAAATACAGAGTCGAATGGGAGAGTGATCCAAAATTTAGTTAGTGGCTTACTCGTGATCCTTAAGAGAATTTCAAAGCACGATGTATAGAATGTAATGTTTCAATGATGGCCGCAAAGCATGTTTTATCGACTCATTCTGAGGGGAAAAATTATATTCATCATCCAAAGTGTATATTGAAAGTAGATTTGTTTAAAAAATTCTTTTCCATTTTTTATTTCTATCTCAATTTTAATACTTATGCAAGTTTATTTCAATTCAATACAAAAACGCCGTAAAACGAAACGTGAAAAACATGAAACGTCAAACGTGGTATAATTTTGGACAAGGTAGTATAATTTTATTCTCTATGTACAATATTTTTTTGAGGCTCTGGATCCAACCCTGCTTGTAGCACTGTACTTTTATATTTATTAGTTGTTTATGTAGTCTTGTACAATAAATAGTTTCAAACTCCTCAAGTTTTATTAGTATTAAGTATATTTATATTTTATATAAATAATAGACTAACTGTTCTATAATCCACATTATAGTGAATGTGAATGGAAAAACACGAAAATGTTAAAGATAGTTGAAGATTGTTTGATAACAATTTAATATTTGAATATTGACTTCAGTCGCATATTCATTTAATCATTAATTATTTCACATTAGGTACGTAATTAAATATTTATGTGAGTTTTAAATTATATGAGTAATTAACAATTTTTAGATATTTTTATAGGAATCTATTATTTTCAGGATGTAAACACGGCAAACAATTACTTCGCAAATACCATAAACGCACCCTTAGATTATTTACACATAAATATAATCTAAGTACGCACCTAATACAGGCAATATTTGTTTATGAGACAGCTACGTTCTATTTGTTTGGTGAGTTATTCTCATATTATTTACCTACTTATTTTTCGTAGATGGTGGTATCTCTTAGTAGTTAGTACAGTCACACAGTGTCAGTCAAGTTTCATTTCTATTTCGAGAATGTACTTACATAATACTAGCGGACCCGACAGACGTTGTCCTGTCTACACGTCTTTAATTTGAAAATTTCAAACTTTTTTTAATAATTTTTTTGATGAAAATTATTATTCAAATTGTGAATCTAAACCATTCCCAGATCCCCTTGAACACACACAAAAAATTTCATCAAAATCGGTCCAGTCGTTTGAGAGAAGTTCAGTGACATACACACTCACAGAAGAATTATATATATAAAGATTATGTGATATTTCCGAGTACCTACTTTTGATAAAAGACAGTGCAAGATAAGTATTTTTTTATATTACAAAGATATTTTGTATGGTCAATATTCACATCTACTGGGATTGGGCTCGACATTCAGACTAAATGTGCCAGAAATACTTAATAACAATTGAATATTTTTTTAATTATATTAGAAATTAATTTCAAGTCCTTCTATATATCATTTGTCTTATTATTATAGTTTTATATAAAAGCATATTTAAAAAGTAAATTGAATTCCTTATATGTATTAATTAGACCATTTTCTAGTTACAGATGTGATTGTACAGGAGGAATATCTTTGGCAATAAGTTTTGTTCACTGTGAAGTAAAAAAAATATCATGTGAGATGTTTATTTTCTGCTAATTATTATATTCAAATCAAGAACAGTTTTGTTTTAAATAAATAATCTTTCTTATAAATGCAGGTAAAATTAATCTATACTAATATAAATAATATTATAAAGAGGAAAAGTTTGTGCGTTTGTGACATTCTAGGGGACAATCTCTGGATCTACTGAACTGATTTAGATGAAATTAGGTAAGAAGTTAGTTTGAGACCCTGAGAAGAACAAAAGATATTTTTTGTCCCAGAAATCATCCCTTGAGGGGGTTAAAATGGGGATGAACCCAAACAAAGTGAGGGTTAGTCGCTAGTGAAAAATAATTTAGTTTGTTCCTTTAATTAAAGCATAATGATTTCTAAAAATATACCACAAAAAAACTGTAAATAATAATATAATTCTTAATTTCATATATTTCAGGGTTAAAGAGAGGCTACATAATATAATGATAGCCAAATTAACTACAATATTCTTAAGAATTGGATGGGATTAATCCCTGCCCATCGCAATACATGTCATATAGGTAAATAGTTCTGCTATTGTTCTTCTTTAATGGAACTTTTTCTTTTTTTTATATAAGATACTTAATATAATAAGATTGTAACTAAGTCGAATCTGTGCCTTGAATATTTTTAGGAAAATCTTATTAAAATAAACATTATTATTGATACAGAGGCCAAATCGATAGTTTTTAGAATTTTTGTCTGTCTGTCTGTCTGTTACCACATCACAGAAAAACCACTGGAGTGATTTTGATGAAATTTGGTATGGTGATAGGTGGTTATTCGGGTCAACATATAGGATATTTTTTACCACGGAAAAATGTCTCATTTCTGAGAAAAAATACAAAAACTGCAATGTAAGAGTAAAATAATATGTAAAACCTAAGAATTTGGTTTTTGGTCATCTGAATGTGGGCAATGCTATATCTGTATATAAATATTATAAATGTGAAAGTTTGGTACTATGTATGTTTGTTACTCTTTCAGGCAAGAACGGCTTAACAGATCTGGATGAAATTTGGCATAGTGATAGATTATAGTCTGAAGTAGCACATAGGCTATTATACTTTTTGTCCCGAAAAAAATATACGGTTCTCGAGGGATAGATTTGTTTTTGTTTTTCCTATTTGTTTTTGTTTTCCACTAGCCCTCACATTTTTCTATTTATTAATGCACAACTAAACAGTTACCCCTAACTACATGGATATATTTTATTAAAATAACATAAATAACAATGCAATAGCAATAGATCTTAATCTAATAGGGAAGAATTTTGCATTTTTCTCCCGCCAGGTGTCGCGATCACTATGGCTCTCAGTATATTGTAAAGCTCTATAGCATCAATGGATTTTTTTTCGTTTTATTTAATTTAATGACAGATTGTGCAGTACCAGGATGCAAAGAAAATGGATATCATTTGTTTCCAAAAGACAAAAACTGAAAAAATTGTGGGCTAAAGCAATAAGATGACCAAAATTGGTGAAATCACAATCTTCATATTTAAGTCTATGTGGACATCATTTTAAAGAAAGTGATTTGAAAACTTGTAAATTGTCTACAGGTTAATATTTTTTAAAAAATTTTGTACTTTTTTACATATTAATTACAGAGTTTCATAGAAACTTTCATCCCATATTTTACCCCATTATATATACAAAAATTTTATGACCAGCAATGTCAACCAACATAACAATAATAAATTAAAAATTTAAAAAACTCCCTATGCAAATTAATTGTCATTTAACGATTACACTGGCACACGTGAAGCACTTAATCGAGTAATCATACGCCAAAATGCCTTACATCATTTTGGAAAAGAGCTGATACTCTTACACTGCTGGACCGATTTTACCAAACTTAGCTAAGAACCACCGCAAGGAAACTGGCTTTCAAATGAAAAAAACTGCATCGAAAACGGTCCATCCGTTTGAGACCTACGATGCCACAGATAGACACACACACACACACAGACAGACAGACATCGATGTCAAACTTATAACACTCCTCTTTTTGCGTCGGGTGTTAAAAATAGTTTTATTGATATTTACTCTATTTATTTTCAGGCACAAAATACATCAAGATATCACGGAGCAGGTGAAAGCTTTCTACAGTTTAATGACAATAACAATTCATATTCTTCAACTTCATATTGAAGAAAGAAATAGAATGAAGCCTAATTTATAATACTGCAGCTTTTATTAAAATTCTTTTTTTTAATTAAATTAAAGCCGATGCCTGGTTGTCGATACTGTCCATTTATAAATAAAGTGATCTAGTGTAGACTTTTTTTACACACCTTACAATTATTTTGTTTATCAAATTATGTATATGATGTAATTGTAATACATACATATACATATTATGCAGGTGATGTTATTGAGAAACTGTTAAAATACTTATAGACTAAGATTTATTAATGTTAACCAATATTTGTAATATTTTAATTATCTTGTAAATTTTTTCGTTATAATATTATTACATACCTTCGGCAACTAATAATACTGCCCAAAACAACAGAATGTGTAAAATATACAAGAGTATATAAATAATGAATACGACATTTTTAATAATAGTTTTTTATCATTAAAGAAAAAATTAAATTAATTATAGTTCCTAATTATTATTTTTTACATGAAATGTAAATATTATTTTCTTTTGGTTATATAATATTTTTATCTAACTTCAAATGCACATACTCATACTGTACTATTCACTTTTTGATTAAGTTTGTTTATATAATTACACGTTTTTATGTGAATATCGGACGACAAATTTAAAATGATATTTTTAATTCATAGATGTACATTTTTATAATTTGTTTTCTGTTTCTGTGCCTAAGTAAATAAAATAAATATGTAAGTTACATGTTTATAATAATGAAAAATTAAAATAATTATAATATAGTTACAACTTACAATGCAGTTCATAAAATAATGTACACTTCACGGTATTGCAATGTAATGAGAAAATGTGAAGTGCTTCAATAGTCCCAAAGAGGTTTTATATGCTGTATACTGTCACTTTTTAAGGCCTTGTCAATTATATAAGTGTATACACAAGTGTTACACATAAATAAATAATCATACTCCACAATGAACTAGCTTTTTTTTGATAGATTGAATTAAATACTAAACATGTAACATATTTTGACTACAATTGTATAAATTTATTTCTTATATCACATATATTGAACTACTTTTATGAAATAAATTAATATTATCTGCTAATAATAAAGAAGAGATGAATGTAAGATTGATATTTAGTTGACAATACAAAAGAAGGATGTGGTATTGTGAATACATATTGTAATAAATAAAACAACACTTTGAAAAAGCAGTTTTTGTAAGTCGTGTGTACGTAATTTATTATTATTATTATTATGAATATTGAATTACATCACTTCCAGATATCTCTATTGGTAATACTTTCTTAGATTTACGCGAATGTTCGACATTGTTAAATAAAACTATCTTTTCGGATTATTTCGCGGATTTATTTGGATTTTTGTTTCCCGACGTTTCGAATGCTTTACAGCATCCATGGTCACGGGAGAGACTGAGGTGTTACATGTCTTGAATGTATAGTTGTTACAGACAGCCTACCCACAATTAACAAAATGAAAATTGCACCAATTACATTACAATATTTTTTAACTTTAAACATTTTTATAATTTTAATTATAATTGAATATGGAAAATTATTTATTTAATTTTTACTATAATTTTTATAATTATTACAATTTTAAAATATTAATTAGTAATCTATATTTAGTGTTGCTATTATTATATTTATAACCATAAAGAAAAATATAAAATATAGTATTAATTATTTAAGCCATATAATTGTTCTATGTGTAATTTAAAAAAAAAATTAATTAAGGATAATAATTTTAATTTAGTTTGCTATTATTTAAAAACAACTTACTAAGCAACACTATTAATATCTACTTTTACAAATGAAAAATGAAAAATATTAATCTGATAAGCTGTCATTTTGATCTACACAGTATGAACTTACTACATCTGCCTGTCTGTTATGTTTATATTTATTATTTGATTTTATTATATTGACTTGTTTTTGTCATGTATGAACTATATTATTGTAAAGTTTCATTAAAATCCAATCAGTAGTTTTTGTGTACTAAGTTGTAATAGTTTTTTAACTATCCCACGGAAACTATTTAATTTTCCGGGATGAAAAGTATCTAAGATTTGTCCGGGGATATAAGGTACAACCATGCAAAATTTCATTTAAATCGGTCCAATAGATTCGGAAATTAGCCCGTACAAACAGAAAAAACAGTCAAACTACTCGCTCGGGTTCGGCCATACCTACGAATATGTTGTATTATCTCTTTAACAATTTGTCCAAATTATATGCAGTAAAAGGAAAAAGTCTTTTGTTTTGAACATTTTAGACGATAAATTTACTTATTTTGATAAGAATTCATAATTGTTGAAATTATGACCAATAAACATGACCTACCGGTTTAAATTATTTTTTTAATATAAAAAACTCCTTTTTGTGACTTAAATGAATGTTAGACATATGCTGTCGCTGACCTTTTTGTAGGCATTATTAAGCTCTACAACTTTTCTCTAGAACATAATCATATATCTCTCATCGTTAAGGCAGCGTTCGTAAGAAACGTTTTCGTTCGACCGTCTTTTCTTCGAATTACTTTGCAAATCCGACTACCACGAAAAAGCCTTTATATTTTTTTAGTTAATATATAGCCTATGACACTCAGAAAGAACGTGGCTTTCTATTAGTAAAAGAATTTTGAAATTCGGTTCAGTAGATCCAGAGATTACCCCCTACAACGTCACAAACTCACAAACTTACAAACTCACAAGATCACAAACTTTACCTCTTTATAATATTAGTATAGATGATCGGTCTACAGGAGTAACCTACAACAATAGTAAAATTACTTACGTAATACAAAAATGACATTGATTGTAAGTGAAAATAATGAGAACTATATTATAATTTAATTTTATTATCTACTATAAATTTAACTAGTTTTCTAATAAATTATAAGTAAATAAATACAGATAGACAAACATTCTCTAAACTATAGATTCGGCCTCTGTATCGATAATAATTAATAATGTTTATTTCAATAAGATTTTCCAAAAAATATTTTATGTACAGAATGAGAAAAAATACAAAAACTGCAATGTAAGAGTATACTAATATGTAAAACCTAAGAATTTGTTTTCTGGTCATCAGAACGCGGGCGGAGCCGCGGGCAACGCTAGTTGTGATATAAATCTCTTGAAATATACAAAGTATCTTGATAGAGTAGGTTTAGTTTGCTGCGTTTCTTTAGCCAGCACAGACATATATTAAGTTATCATGTTCAAATTCGCAATATTATTATATGTGCTGAATTTTTGCTGTGGCTATAAAATATTGTTAGTGTTCCCTATCCCGGGGAGAAGTCATTTGATTTTGGGAGAAGGATATGTCCGACATTTAGTTAACGCTGGCCATGAGGTATTAATTGTTTGATTTTATGGTAATTTCCATTTTGGTTTCTGCAAAAGTTAAATAATATTTAAGTTTCCTAAAAGTGCAGTCAAATCTCTGTAACTCTATGTTCTTTTTACCTTAATTTTAAAGGGTTATGTTTTATGCAATTACAAGAAATTAATTTAAATAAATCAATTTTTCCGGATTATGTGTTATTAACGATGAATGATGAATATGTATCAAAAATCTATTGTTCTCCGTTATTTAAAGGATAAATAGAAGCGTTAATGTTACTATAATATTATTTAAGCCTTAAAGTATAACAACAAATAATAGAAAATGGTATAAAGATACTATTACGGTTCTTAAATATAAAATTCCTGTGTGCATGTGTTCGTAATTCTTCACCTCCTTGCTTGCGGCTTCACCGGATTTGATGATTTATTTATACATATGGGGTCACCTGGATGATTTTTTTGCTTAAGTAGGAACGGCTAGGAGTAGGTAGGCTGTTGTTGAGATCCATTTCTTTATTTTCTATTTATTTTCTACCTCGCTCCGTTAGTTATTCAATAAAATTCCTAAACCATTCAAAAACGCCCAAAGACAAATTATTTTTTTTTGCATCAGGAATCTTCGCAGGCGTATACAGAATAACCCACCAGAGTTTCATCACGATCGGATCAATGGCTACGAATCATACGAGACAAACATACAAACATTAATTTTTATTTGTAGTTTTAATTTTTTTCATGTCTTTTTAGTTGACGTCAATAAATTTTATTTATTCGAAAATTAATTCATTTTCCTATTTTATATTAGTATGATGATACTAAATATTTATGTTGAATAATAGGTATATTCAACTACGTTATTTACATTTTGAAATGTCAAACATTAAAAATGTTACAACTTTTAATAGATAAATTAAAATAATACTTAAAAATGAACCTCCTCATAGTAAAATACCACCTACGTAGCTTTGAATAAATATTTTAATTATGTACATATATTATATTAATACGAGTTTCCAGTAAACTACAATATTAAGCATAGATATAATTATTATGGTCCACTGTCATATTATTTATTATTAAAAAATGCATAATTGAATGATCAAATCGTCTTACAAATAAAATGGTAGGATTTCTCAGTCCTATGCTCGGATATTGTCTCCCACACGGTGATACTTTTTTCATTAATAACAAGCTAATTTTTGTTTAAGTTTTGCATATTTTTAAGTAATAATAAATACTATGAACATCAGCTGGTTATTAATATTTAATTAATTTTATGACATTATTTAGACAAGTTCGGAGAGGGGGCCGATTTGATCCAAGCCATCTGTTTTGTAGGACAATATTTTTTTCTTATTTAATGTTAGATAATCTCAAGATTAAATCGTAAAAAATATATTTTATAAAATTAAAAAACCCGACTGCTTTCTAGAACACTAGATAGGAACATCCATGATACATAGACTGATAAACACATTACCCTCATTTGCGTCGCGCAGTCAAGTAAAAACAACCTGTTATTCACAAATTTAAGACTATCACCGTTTTTTACATTTTATATCAATCTACAATTGTATCTACCACTATCGAATTCTCGTAGAAAGAATAGTTGGACGTCTCGCCAAAATGAAGCTACTCACGAAGTTTTAGCTTGTTATCAAAATTAAAAAAATCGTTGGGAACTGTAAACTATTAGGAGAATATTTCATTAATTTATAACTTAATAATAATTGAATTATGTATGAATCTTGTAGTAAAAATAAGTGTGTCTTAAAATAAGTGTCTTTTTTGCTGCTGTGAGCTTTAGTGTTATCAATAAAAAAAAATTGGATTCAATTATATTTTTCTAAATAGTTTTCCGCAAGTTTTCAATAATGACTATGATTGAATTTCAACAACTCGGCAAACGCTAGTAATACTAAGAATTCTAAAGAAAATCGTCCTAAGCTAACATAACTTACTTGCCAGTATATATAAGCTACTTGCAAAGAGGATTTAGTCTATAACACTATGCTGAATAGATAGTGATTAACGGATTTCACTCAGAAGAAGAAGACCCTGACATAAACAAGTACCCACAATCACCTTCTTCGTAAATCTTTCGCATTTATTCTAGTGTACCTAATATTGTAATATTAAAAGGATAACATATCTTCCACGTGAATAAAATACTAGCAACCGTAAATGGTTTATTAATTGTAACACTTAAAGTTAGAATTTGAAGCAAATGTTAAAATTAACATACCTAGATGTGATATCATCCAATAGCATATTAAATTAAACAGAAGGAATCAACAATATCTTTGTAATCGCCATAATATAGGTTTTTTTTATTTGCAGGTCACATATGTCACGCCCAGACCTATTAAAAATGCGTCCACAAATCTTCGGCAAATTGACATATCAGAGAATATAAAATATTTTAGAACAGGTAATTTTTATAAATTAAAATAACAATAATACTTTCTTAGATTTACGCGATATTTTTAACACTCTAAATAAAAAATATATTTTTGGTTTTTTTCGCGAATTTTTGGGGAACAAAAAATAAAAATAAATTAGTGAAAAAATCCGAAAAGATAGTTTTATTTAAAATAACAACTTTGATTTTAAGAAATAAAAGTAATTTTAGAAGGCTGCCTTATTATGTATATAATATAAGTGTCGGACACCAAATAAATACTACAAATAAGAAAAACCTGATAATGCCAAGTTTTTGTCTTGAAAAAGCGAATAAGTCTTTTATGAGGCAGGATGTACGAGTACATACTTAATAATATTCCATACTATATTGAGCTTGCCATATTTTATTTAGCAAAGAATATTATCCCGTTATGGAATACTTTGCAGATTCAAAAGTTCTTGTAAAAGTCTATTTGAATACTTTGATTTTAATTAATAACTATAAGTATTGACCTGACTTTGACCTCAAAGCCTAATCTAGCCACTAGTGAATAGATCAACGAAAATTATTAATAACCTACATTGTCTTGTAGATTTTGCTTTTAATAATATTTTTCGTTCTTTTTTTTACTTGTAGGATTATTTAACATAAAAACTATTATGTACAAGGAAATTGATTTACAAAATCAAAAATTGTTGATACAAGGAATGGATGATTTTTGGAAAAAATCATTGAAAACAAAGGCAATGCAAAAATTCTTAAATGATCCAAAAGAGCAGTACGACGTTGTTATAGCAGAATGGCTTTATACTGAACTTGGCGCCGGGTTTGTATACATTTATTTTCATACGATTAAATTGGATTGAAATAGGTTTTTTTTAACGTAAGGAAAGTATTCTACGAGGATTACCATTAATTTATTTTTCAACCGACTTCAAAAAGGAGGAGGTTCTCAATTCGACTGTATGTTTTTTTTTATGTTTGTTACCTCAGAACTCCGTCATTTATTAACCGATTTGGACAATTTTTGTGTTGTTTGAAAGGGTTACTTCCAGATTGGTCCCATTTAAATTTCAAAAAAAAATACCACCCCCTAAGGGTGGAAAAATAGCTAATGATGAATTTAACCTACTTCTAATTGTCATATTAACTTTAAATTTGCAAGTGTTTCTATTTCCGTTGATAGTACAGTGGTTCGGTATTATTGACCTGATCTGATGGTAAGGTCAGAAGGTGGATAGGTGGAACTCTTCAACGGCTAATAGTAGATACTTTGAGTTTGGGCTTATTTTGTTTGATTTGACAAGCCTAACACGTTAGAATTCTTACTTCGCTACTACTGTGTACACTAAAAAGGGAAAAATAAAAACTTTTTAACAAAAAAATAAAAACCGACTTCAAGCAAAAGCACTAAAAAGTAAAAAATAACTGATTGGTAGTTTTCATTTACTATACATACCTAATCAAATATTTTCGAAGTCGGTGTGCTTTGGCTAAGTAATTAAAGCCTACCTATTAAATACATACCTAATCAAATATTTTCGAAATCGGTGCCAGCCCATACAAAGCAAAGCACACCGACTTCGAAAATATTTGATTAGGTATGTATAGTAAATGAAAACTACCAATCAGTTATTTTTTACTTTTTAGTGCTTTTGTTTGAAGTCGGTTTTTATTTTTTTTATTCAAGATGAACATAATATTTAATGCTTACTTTAATGAGTAACAAACACTTCTTTTTGTACGGATAATGTTCCCTCAACAATAAGGTTTATTTTTTCACAGGATATCGACAGTTTTTAAATGTCCATTAATATGGTCCTCTTCTATGGATCCCCATACTACTGTGCTATCTCTGATTCACGAACACCTAAATCCAGCGTATACGTTCGACCACATGTCTGTTGACTACTCTTTTACATTTTCACAAAGAATATATCAGTTGTGGAATGCATTAAGAAACACATATTTTAAACGGTACGCTATTTTATTCATCTCCACCGTATGAGAAGTACATCTATACATATAATAAAATTGTAACTGAGTCGAATCTATACATTAGATAATTTTTGCAAATCTTATTGAAATAAACATTATTATCGATACAGAGGCCGAATCTATAGTTTTTAGATTTTTGTCTGTCTGTCACAGAAAAACTACTGGAGGGATTTTAATGAAATTTGGTATTGTGATAGCTGTTTATCCGGGTCAACATATAAAATACTTTTTACCGCGGGAAAATATCTCATTTTTGAGAAAAAATACAAAAATTGCAAAGTAAGAGTATACTAATAATGTGTAAAACCTAAGAATTTGGTTTTTGTTCATCTGAACGCGGGCGGAGCCGCGGGCAATGCTGGTCATAAAATAAATCATAAGAAAATTGATATCATCAAAAGAAGTCAAACAACATCTATGTGATCGTATTCAGAACAGATTAATTTTCTTTGATTTCTCAGTAGTACCAAATTACTAATTTAATAAAGTAAATAACAATTTTATAGTTACATTTTAAAGTAATATACTGTAACGAATTGGTTTACTTAAAGCTATGGAGAAAAAACTGAATTGTACAATATATAATTCATAAAATATAGCAATTTCCTAAGTAGTTGATCAATCATGTCAAATTCAAAGTCACTGGTGAGCCAAATGCATGAAGACCGGAGTCTAGGTGTGCCGTAAAAACTCATCTTAAAGAAGACATACGGAGGTTATTACCATTCTTTACTATATAAACGTAAACGAATGTTATTTATAATATTTATCATAATAACATGATTGTTCATTGTCTATAAAAGAGTTTCATATTAATTGTCCTTTAAAAGAACCAAAAGATTTTTTTCATACAAATATTCAATTTTATTTCCAAAGGGTTAATAATGCAAAGCAGAATGAATATTTTAAAGATATTTATGAACCTATTCTGACTAAGAGAGGCCAACAAGTACCACATTATGATGAGGTTAGATACAATGCTTCGTTAATGCTCGGTAATTCTGATATTACTACCGGCGATGGAATTGCTCTCCCTCAAAATTATAAGCATATCGGGGGATATCATATCAAGAACGTTGTTGAACCGCTACCCAAGGTATTTATGCAATCTTTGTACTGATTTTTCGGAGAGTGTTTACACTAACACATTTTTCGCTCTAATGGGTCGCTAAAATTTTGTAGTCACCACGCAACAGGTCACGATGGAGTATAATGGAGCTGTAATACCTTATTATTCATTCAATGGTGAAGGATTTTGGTTTACACATTATCTTGGTTAGGACAAATGAATGAAGTTAGTAGAAAATTATTTCTTAAATTGGGTTCTTGGCGGTGTCTTCGTTCTATACTTTTCTCAAATTTTAACTAAATATGCATAATAATGCAAATTTATTTCTACTTCCCACATTCATGGCTTGACTGGAAAAGATCTTCTTTTTTTTGAGGTAAATCCACATTTATCTACGTAGGCTTTTTTTTGTATTACTTGTTTATGCAATGCAGGCATGAATATGTATTCGTTTTCATGTTGAGACCACTAATTTAAGAATATTATGAACACGATACAGTGGCAACATCTAATCTGGCTCTAATTTTCTATAAGCGATAACTTGGTGTAGATATTTGTAGTATTTGTCTGGTATAATAATTTGTCATTGTTAATGCTTTGCGAAAGGAAAACCATCGACCAACCTAATAGGTTTTTTTATAGCATATGCAAAAGATCATGGATAAAGCGGAACATGGTGTAATATACTTCAGTATGGGTAGTAACCTCAAAAGCACCCACATACCGAATTCTGTCAAAAAAGAACTATTACAAGTATTTAGGGAACTAAAACAAACTGTGATTTGGAAATTAGAAGAAACGATGCCAAATGCACCCAAAAATGTCCATATTGTACCTTGGGCTCCACAGCAGAGTATACTCGGTAAGACTTTATATTGGTCTCTCATAAAATTATTAATTTTTTATTATGTATATTATTGTATTTATTATGTCATTTTTATTTTTGGCATAGAAACCCACATTATTATTGCAAATGCTATAATACAATAACATAAACATTTTCTTTTATCAGCTCATGCAAACATTGTACTATTCATCACCCATGGAGGTTTACTTTCAATCTTGGAAACACTTCGTTTTGGAGTACCCATAATAGGAATACCATTCTACGCTGATCAGTATCTAAACGTTAACAGAGCTGTCGCCAAAGGTTTTGCTAAACGATTAGATTTTGACGAAAATTCACCAAACTCTTTGAGGATTGCTATAAAGGAAATTCTTGATGATCCCAGGTAATAATACTAATGGTTTCTTTGATAAGTTTATAGTAAACAAGCACAGAAGAAAAATTCAAATTCCGCATGTATTATGCAATTATTTATACTATGTATCGATAGGGATAATTCAAACATTGAGCGAATTTTAGATAGTGTTCACTCAGTAGTTTAAAATCGACCATAATCATGTTTTTTATTGATATTATTAAACAAATCGGTTGACAAACAGAGAAGAATAAAGTACTAAACTGCCTTTGTCTATTTATGTATATGTATATATATATATATATATATATATATATATATATATATATATTATTATTTGAATTTCAGCTACCATCAACGGGCCAAGGAGCTATCCACAGCTTTCAATGACAGAATGGTGCCCCCTGGAAAAGAGCTGGTGCACTGGGTGGAACATGTAGTGAAAACCGGCGGAGCACCTCATCTACGGTCTGCAGCGTTACACGTTAGCTGGTATAAGAAGCTATATCTAGATTTAATTTCTATTGTATTATTAGGCATAGTAGGGTTTATCGTTGTTTTAAGATATATATTAAGTACTTTTAGTGCCTGTATAAGGATTAGTAAGAAAAAGGTAATGTAATATTTTTAACTAATGACTTATCTTTATATATAGAATTCTAAAAAGGTAGGTTTCATACAAACTTTCATGCCTTATTTTACCCCCGTATGGGATGAAGTTTTCAACCAACCAAGTTTCAAGTAATTCTGATCATAAATATTTTTTTGGGTTGTATTATAACGTATTTTCCCATGAGATTTCCAACGCTCTCCACACAAAAAGTCACGCCAGTCCGCCGTTCCGTTTCCACGTGAAAGAAGGACAAAGAAACAAACAAACACACTTTCACATTTATAATATTATTATCGATACTCGTATATAATGTTTAACTACAGGCAGCGCCACCTTTTGGCATATTCTCCACTAATAGGAGCCTACGTGATAACTCCAGGTTATCCGTGTAATTTTCTACCAAATCTTGATACCTTTCAGCGTTGAGTAGTAACTAACATACACAACATACAAACTTTCGCATTTTTAATAGTAATGTGGGATGACTACGGCTTTCTATGAGATCGTCACTAAATTTATTGAAAGCGCATTAACCAGTTTTTTAATCTCATTTAACCTAGGCGATCAAATGATAGACCAAAGTAATAGAAAAAGAGACAAAATTTTAAAAATATATATTTTTTTTTAATTTACCTATTACTAGAGTTATGTAACACTAACACGTGGGCTATTTAGATGTCCTTCTCGGAAGGATCTTATACTTTTGAATGTATCGTCCGTTTTAGATCTTTCTTAAAAGGATCTATTATTATAAACAATGTTTATGTAAAACAATTGAGTTGTAACAGATAGCAAGCAATTACGCATAAATAGTTTAAGGGTCCTTATTTTTTGTGATGGGAACCTACTCACACTACCGCACTCATGCTGCTATATAACCTTAGAAAATAAGTTATTAAAACTGTTGTACTTGTTCTTTCGACGAAAAACGTTGTGTCATTACAACCCAAGTCCCGATAACGTAACTCTAGGTACGTTTTAGTTTTTTTGAGTAGAACCCTAATTCTTTTTCTAAAATATACTGCATAAAAGTTTTCCTCAACGTGTTTACATCTGTTCAGTTAGCTTTAATGCACTCAGGAGTCAGGGGGTTTTTTATAATATATTTTTTATTTACGGCTTTTGAGTTTTAGCCAATTAGACATTTAAATATACTGAAATATCGATAATAATTAAACAAAAAATTGGTGCAAATGCAATTTTCATAAAATTTGCAACTAAATTGGATAGGTTACATATCTTGTATTATCAATAGTTAATAGAGTTACAGACTTATTTAGTCACTAGCGGCTTACCCTCGCTTCGCTCGGGTTCGCCTCTAGAAAATTACTAATAGAGATCTATTAGTTCCCACGGGAACCGTTCATTTTTCCGGGATGAAAAGTAACCTGTTCTTTGACCGGCAATATAAGGTATAAGAATGTTAAATTTTACTAAATTAGGTGCGTAAGTTGTTGTGTACTAAGCTGTATAAGTTACTATAGTTTTTTAACTATCCCACGGGAACTCTTAAATTTTCCGTAATGTAAAGTATCTAAGATATTGTCCGGGGATATAAAGTACCACCATGCAAAATTTCATTTAAATCAGTCCAATAGTTTCGGAGATTAGCCCGTACAAACAGACAAACAGACAGAGAAACAAAAAAATTGAAAAAAAATCTAGATTTGTTCTATTTTTCTTCTTACGGGATATAAGGAGATAACTGACTCGGTTTTTAGCATTTTTTTCTATATGCACAGACATTCGACCTCTACAGTTTTATTATATTTATAGATAGAATAAATAACATATAATAAAACAGTAATATATAATAATGAAAATAGTTATAGCGAGTGTACCTTAGGAGATAGACAAATACTATTGAAAACTTTTCTATCGACCTTTTTAAGACTTACAATTTTCTTGTACAATGTTTTGATCTATCTCTTAAGGTTGAGCCAGCGTTCGCCATATAAATTTCTAAGGACAATTCAATGGAACCAGTTATTGTGTTTTCCCGTGGGAATGAATAATTTGCCTGTCATAAAAGGTATCCTAAATGTTGACCCGAGTACTAAGTTATCACTATACAAAATTGTGTTAAATTCGGTTCAGTACTGTTCGCGTGAAACGCGCAGATCGATTTGACTAAGTTAGTTTTCTTATAGGTATAGATAAAAATAGATATTGCTTAGGAGATATACATATACTATTCAGATCTTTCCTGTAGGACTTTTCAAGACCTACAATATTTTCGTATATTGTTTTGATGTGTGTATGTCTTAAGGTTTAGCCAGCGGAAGGTTTCTAGGGAGGACTCGATAAAACCAGTTATTGTGTCTTCCCGTGAGAAAGAAAGATTTTCTTGAAGTGTAAGGTATCCTAAACGTTGACTCGGGTAATAACTTATCACTTCACCAAATTTCGTTGAAATCGGTTCATAACTTTTCGCGTGAAACGCGCATACAAAAACAGACATACAGATTTTTTTTTAATAACGATTGTTTTGGGGTCTATGTTGTGTGCATAATACGTTACAAATAAACGAAAACGTCTATCCCACGGCAACTGTACATTTTTCCGGGATAAAAAGTAACCTATTTGTTATTTTGATATGTATATTATTTATTGTAAAGTTTCATCAAAATCCAATCAGTAGTTTTTGGTTTTAGTTTTTTTTTAAAACGGAAGATTGACAATCACAGGTGTCCGGGTTCGAATCCCGGTCGGATACAAAGGTATATTTTTTTTTTGTTTTTTTTTGTATTATTCAAGTTTTTAGTTTTTTTTAAAGAAAATTATACTTATCAACAAAAACTCCGAGCGAAGCTTGGTGGCTCAGGTACTATATATATATATACAAAAATTGCTCGTTTAAATATATTAAATATATATATTTTTGACTTAAAAACTTCCTCGAGCAAGAAACGTACAGACCTAGATTAAGGTGTACTGAATCTTAATGAGACCAAAATTGTCTCATTACGTAAATGTTTAGGGGGGCGAAAACATTATCGCCCGAAACAATATTTCAAAAAGGAAATGTAGCTAATTGCCTCTAAGATTTGCAACTTTATCGCATCTTATAGTTCGCAAAGCAAGCGGTATGATTTTTTTTTAAAACCTGCTCTCGCCGCGTATAGGCACGTCACAATCCTCCTAATGGTGGATGCCAGATCGTTTAAGCACTCAACTACGACGCCCCGACCGCTGCCCGCCAAAGCAGTCCGCAAAAACCACGGGGTTGCTCTTATAGTCCACTCTGAGAAGTACCAGGAGCAACCTGCATGGTATACCGCTCAGCAAAGAGGGCCACATCCCAGTGTGTCTCTTGGCTTCGAGCCCGGCTAGATTGCTAGACGCTAATGAACCACTCCTGCTTTTTACCAGTATTTTTACCTACGAATCTGATTACTAAGATTGACCGATCTGAATAAAAAGCGGTTCATTTTATCATTATGATATTAATATGGTTTAACAAAACATGCATAAATAATTTGCATGACGTAGATTCATGCAACGAATAAAAATATTCTATTAACATAAAATATATCTTTATTATTAAAAGGAACTTGTACTAACATATTATATGTAAATGCGAAAACTTGAGAGTAAATAGCTGGTTAGATTTATGCTTGACGTGGTAAATAATGAACAATTCATTTCTAATTTAATTTAATTTAATCAAAATTTGAACGATAAGCATAATAAAATATAGCAATTGTCCTTAAAAGAGAAGCATAACATGTCATCTCAAACTATTTTGAAAAATTTCCGAAAAAAAATTGAGCTGTATATATATTCGTTTACATTTATTTATTTATTTTGGGAAAACAGACAGTACAATATTTCATAAATAATAATAGATAACACATAAACCAATGAAGTTTCCACATATTAAAAAATAGAAATAAGAAGTAGACCACAATGAAAATAAAATAAAACAAAAAGCTAAACACTAATCTAAAAATTTACAAAAAGAAACACTCATTAACATTAATAATAAAAAAATAAGGAAAAAAATAAAATACATAAAACTCAAAATCATCGATTAAACAATAAGTGGTTAATACTATTTTTGAAACCTATAAGGGAATTCGAAAATATGTCTATACTTGTAAATTTTTTATTATACTCATTACATGAGCGAAGTATCTATTATGTATATTTCGAGCATATTTCGTTCTAGTACATGGCAGGTCAAAAATATCGTGGTTGCGCTTACAAAATTTTGGAACCTTAAAATTCAAACAGCTTAATAAGAGATTATAATAGTTAGTTAGATATTTACCAACACAAAAAATGTTTGAACTAAAGCGACAGATGGTAAGTACTTCGTACAGATTTTGGACTCCATAAAAGACGCAGTACTTGACCGCTATATACAGCCTACACTATTCGACTGCATGCGAAAATATATCTTAACATTTGAGCATAAAACTATAACTTTGATTTACTTGACCTCGTTTAAATTACAATGAGTTATGAGGGCGGGCCTGCATTATTCTATAAAAAATATATTATACAATATTTGGCTCCATTTTTATAAATTTCATTTAAAAAATTAACTACCTATTGATTCGACTTGACAGTTTGTTATGTCCCAGTTCTTCCTAAGTTTCCCAATTGTCCAATGTTTTCACCCTAAAAATCTTGTCCTAAAAGCACAATCGTCTAGCCATTCTCAAGTGATGAGCTTACCAATGGACAGCATTTTATTCATAGTTATTTGTTATATTCCTGTAACTCACAAAAAATGACAAAAATATTTGTTTTATCCCATTCCATTATGTAATTGCTTTCCGAGAGGTTTTTGACGATTACTTAGAGATGCTACGAGTACTCTACGAAGATGAAGGTGTCATCGTCAATTCGTAAATGAAATAAATTTTGGATCGGTTATGAGGAATTTGGGACTCTAAGATTTACTAGTCGCCATTGACGAGTTTCAATAAAATGCTTCTGGTTTTATCATCAGATTAACTCGATGGTATCAAATTATGGTATCGACGTCCACTTTACATACTCTGCGAAGTTTCACATTGCTATGGTGATTCAAAGTAGATAAAAATCAAGTTTTTATTATTGTTTACTTACAAATTTAGCTAGAGATACGTTTTTTTATGTTAGGAAATGCATTTACGCATACCACCTGCGTACAAACAGGTGGTTATGTGGACTCACCGGCTAGAGAAGCCAATACTACCCACTAAAACTCAACAGAACCTACTCCGTCTTAATGATGCGTCGGAAGATCGCTTAAGTTCTCAACCACGACGCCCCGACGGCAGGCCTGCCGAAACAAGCCACAAAACTAAGGGGTTGCTCTCACAGTCTACTCTACTTCGAGTACGTTTCTTGCCCAGCTGGATTGCCGGATGCTAATGAACCCACCACAACAAGAAGTAAAGGTATGATTATTCTTGAAGTCTTCTGAAACT